CTACTGAGATTACTCGTAGAAATATATCGCGTCCATCTCCGGCATTTGCTCGCCGCTTGCTTCACTCGGGCAAGTGATTACGTTACTTTTACACCCTGAAGATGGAGGGACTCTTTCTGGTCTACACGGCGTTGCAATCCAGAAGATGGCATCCCTCGTAGTCATCACCCTGGCAATCTCAGTTCCAGCGCACCAGTAGCCACCGCGTGCACTGCTCTACCGGCACACTATTGCCATGACCGCATGGAGCATCATTATGTTCATATTTTATGATGATTAAGTGACTGAGCTGTTTCGTTATCGGGTCGGCAGATTTCAAAAACAAGCAGACAGCTGGAAAGTTCCAAGCTGTGCTCTTTGGCGTCTGGGGCACAGAGAATGAGAAAAACAGCGACTGTACGGTGAGTTTTATCAACACAGCAAATACATGCGCCATTAAGTAACTGCAAGACTAGGGGACCATAAACGACGAGGCGCAAGCGAAGCTGTTGCCACAGAAAGTCGGATGGTTTACACTTGAGGAAGTGGCAGATGGCTGTTCAAGGCTACCAACGCTTCATATAAATTCTTACAGTTGTGAAGACACTACAATCACCTCAATCACCTTCACAGCACGATTCCGATTCTCCCGAAACAGTTTCCCGAGGTCCAGAAAGAGCATTCCACATGTCACCCCTGGCAATCTCCCCCCCCCCTGAAATCATTTATTCCACGTGGTGTAAACAGCCCACCCAAGCTGAAGCCTTATACACTGAGCTTCGAACACAATCCGTTCCCGGGGACAGTTCAACTTTCGAGTTAAATTTCCACATTTCAAACAATGTAAATTGAAGTTATCCCTTCCAGACCCACAAAAGTTACCCGATATGAAGCATTTTAAGTGCCTATTTCAAAATATCATATTCGTAAAAATGATAAAACAAATGTATATTTAATTTCAGTAATTGAATGTTTTTACTTATAATAGTACATATATAAAAATACTGTACAATAATCAATCAATAATATCAGTAGGAGGGATATTACTGTTCACCGGAATCCACTGGTTGAGAGTTGCGGTTCGGTAGCACTACCACCGCTTGATTTTCCTTTGGAGAGAAGCCTGTCTAATGTCATTTGTTTCTGTCTATTATTTTTTCTGAAATGTTGCATTCCAATACTTCATAGAAGGTTAAGATTAATTCCCATGTTCACAAAAGCCCTTCACTGGTCTCCACCCTAACCTACGAGAATCCAGTCCGCTCCATTCTATTTCTCTACGACCCAGTATAATATTATCATGTGACTGACTAAAAACTGGGTTTGCATTGATAATTGGATTTACTGAACCCTTATACAAGTCCTTAGTACACTTTAGAGCTCACTATTACACAAACACTAGTGTCCACAGGCTCGGCTTCACTGCCGTTGCTTAAAATCGGCTTCAACGACGGATGTTCCCCTTCCTCTGGGTTCCCGAACTGTACCCGGCCCCAGCTACCAGCTTCTCACAGCAACAGCTCACAACTGAACCCCAGGGGTTACCTCACTGATTGACTAACTCGCCAACAAAGTGCCTCTGCTTGTAATATTTCAGCACGGCCCGCACAGAAAACGCAGTTCCCTGTTACTGTTCACAGACCGATGCCTAGTAACGGCTCTTGTAAATCTGCTTATTTCGTGATCGTTGCATAACAACGGGTATACATGCCACAATATTCTCTTAGCATCCAAGTCTACACTTTCCCAGTGATCTGTCCCCCTCAGTTTCTCCTAACTCCGTGTACACTCCTGTACTCTTTTATTCCTCATGCAATTCAGATGCGTTTCAGTTCAGACTGTGCTCCCAGACTTGTTAACATGCTGATTGGTATTCTACACAGAGAATGGCAGCGCAAGTTCCTCAAGGACCCAAAGCGCTTCAACTAAGACCAAAATTTAATTTACTTCGGAAATGTCTTTCTATCAACATATCCACGGGAGATCTGAAAGCAGACGTACAGAAAGGCTGCAGCCATTCAGCAAGAAAATTGGTAGCACGGTCTCCTTTATGTCAGAATTAAACACGCTGTACCTCTGAAAATGATACTTCTTTTACTTTTAATGTCATCGTCTCGCAACGTAAAATATTTACTTTCATCTCGGAAAATGAATTCGCCGCCGGGTCCCAACCCTGTCATGCTTGCCGTACAGCAAATTAACTGGGCCTCACAAGACATGAAAGCAGCAAGCCCGCAGCTAACACAGCCAAAGGCCACCTGAAGAAGGCAGGCACGATGACGAGAATTTGATGCCTTCAAGCTAGTTTCTTCGACTTATTCTTCGTCCCTGAAGATGAACGGGGTATGTTCCTCCGAAACTTTGGTTGACTTTCACCAGACTACAAGACGTAACATCCCATAAGACACATCAAACCACTTGAAATTTCAACCACAAGTTATTAGAATAATGATCACATAGCACATGTTAGCCATACTCGTATATATACGTGGTAGTCATTAAATTTGTGGACTGTGGTTTTATCGCATCGTATTACAAGGTATTCACATACACTTTTTTTTCTGTGGCGCTACAGCCCCAATTTGGGCCTAGGTCTACCTCCATGAAACTCATTCACATACACTTACAGATACATATAGACTCTCAAAATAGTTGCCTTTGGCCGCTATTCAAGTCTACCAACGTTGATATAGCTGCCGAAAACGTTGCTGAAATATACTGGCGGGAAATTGCCGTAAGGCGTCTCTCACTGTAGAGCACTGCAACAATGCTTTGCGGCCAGTCCACAAAATTATCGACTGTGGCAGTTTGTGAGCTATGCATGATGGAGCCCCTTCTCAATATACCCGACTGTGATGCAACACCTCAATGACATTTTCCCTAATCAGCGGGGCGGACTTGGCAGTACCAGTAACTGGCCACCACGATCTCCGCACCTAATACCGTTACATTTTTGTTTATGGGGTTGGATGAAGAGTAAAGTACGTATAAAGGTAAAAAAGGGCAACATTCTGCCTTTACTTAACTAATTAAGCACTACGCCATGAAGAGGTACAGCCCCACGTTTTCTTGACCTCGGCACTAGTTGGAGGTGAGTGGTCAGCTTCACGCCCCGGCCGCTTTACCCGCAGATCCACTCTGTGACAGAGAAGCCCGACTTCGAACTCCGGATACTAACTGGTACATAAAAATGCTTATAAGACACCCGGACACTGTCTGTCTGCTGAGCATGTGCGGTAGAGAAGCGTAATCATGGGCTTCCTTCGGATTCGCTTATTGTCACATTCCTCTTACAGTGAGTCTCATTTTGGGGCGGCTTGACGGTGTTTAGCGCGATAATGTCGCGTGTTTGTGGGATGCACCGGCGTTACACGTTCGGCTAATCAGAATTCGCATTCGCTTGTCAAAACTAACAGTCCGATTATTATAAATATTTGGTTGAGCGTGGACCCTAACATAAATTCTTACATCATCTGGGAGTTTGGCGGGACCAGCCTCCCGAGTCTATTTAAATCTGTTTTCTTCGTGGCGAGTTCTACTTCGAGTTTGAGTTCATTCCGCGATCTAATACTTCTGACAGCAGCTGCAGACTCCTCCAGCGGCTTCCTCGACTTGTATCTGTGATTGTTAATTGCATCTCTACTGGCGCTTCCGCTTCCACTAGTTCTACGTCTAGCAATTGTACTTCTACGCCCGATACAACTAGCACCTGTACTTCTAGTAAAATTAAACCATGCGCTATAAGCAATGCAGTTATAAAAATGAACGTTGTGGTCTGACAATGGAAAAGGTTTTATATTGTTATTCATTAAGTGCCAGTGAGTTAATAAATTAGTCTTGTGTACACATCAATTAAGAATAATACGGCTTGCGACTGCTTCAATTTAACTCCTGATCTGTGCAATTCCTTGACCTACACTCCGTCGGCTAAGGTTCCACACGCAATATTCCTTCAGACAAATCCTTGCTCTATCAAACTACTAATTACCCTACCGGGATACAGAGGGTTTGCGTTTGAGTTGGTCGATTATAGAAGGTGCAACGTCCAATGCCGTCGGCCACAACTGTAATGACATGCTGAAACCACTCCAAACTTCTCCCTTTAACTTTCGATACCAGATAGACGGTTTTATATAATTCTCGCAGTTCTTGGTTAGTACTATAAAGGAAAAAGTAGAGGTATCCCTGTAACAGGCAGTGGAGGCCCATAGAGTTGTGGGATGCTGAGGTTCCCACCCCACATTTTCTAGACAATTGGCTCATAGATGGCGGCAAGGTTGTCAGCCCTACGCGCCGGCCACCCTTTACCCCAAAGAATATTCCAAGAATATTCCTGGTACTCATTTCTCTTAGAGTATGAGTCAACCCCAGGGCCACAGTGCGGCCGGAAGGATTAGGTCAATTGAAAAAAATCCAGTGACCTCATTGGGACTTGAACTCGCGACCTTCCGGCTTGTAGCATAGTGCCTCAACCAACTACGCTACCGCGTGCCCCTTCTTGGTTAGTACTGACTCTCCAAAACCTTTCTTCAGTTACTGATCCATATAACTTATTGAAACGTTTTCGCGTGCGGGTGTCCTTATGTTCATGCAAGTCACGGTAGAAATACTACAAAAAAAAAAGTAAAAAAAATGGAGCATCAAGGGAGCGACAAATATATGGACACAGATAATCCAACGTATGATGAGTTCATGATTTCGCTGGATATGCAACCATTAATTCTCCAAGCTAACTTACACCTCATGTTCATCCAAGAAAAACCAACAACGTACCCGATGAAGAAAACAAATTTCAGCCACCACAGCAAAAACTGCGATCACGGAACACAGTGTGCGCGCTGAGGCTGGAAGCATCACTGTCCACTTCTTGCAACTCAGAGACCGAAGCATAACAAAAGACAAGCTTGTATCATCTTGTTAGGCATCTGAGGATCTCACGGCACACACAATCAGATGTGCCGTCATTGTCAAACACCTACCACAACACATGATGGTACCTACTTCCAGGGGCTGGGTCTTACCTGGAACTCGAACTTTTTGAACTGCTCCACCGTGTCGACGTCGGTCTTGGAGGAAGGAAGAACCGGACAAGTGTCCTGCGTGATGAGGCTGTCAGGATCGGGCTCCAGGAGGTCTGCCTCAGGCACACGCTCCTCAGCGGTGAGGGGGCCATGATCACCCGGCACTGCAGCCGTATCCTCGTCTTTTCGCTGCTCGACGGGCAGTTTGGCCACGTCCGACGCGGATGCCGAGGAAGTGACAACGGTCGCGTTGCCGGTGGGTGTAGTGTTGTAGTTAGCGTAGTAGAGGCACAGCAGTATTGTCAGCAGGACGGCACTTAGCGCCAAGTAGCGCGTCGAGCCCCGGCGCAACACTTTCAACATGGCGGACACATTATTCGGAAGAATCGTTCCAAAATCTCACTCCTGCCGCCTCCTCGCGTTGGCCTTGCCCGTCATTGAACCTTGAGGCGAGTACTTCAAAGTTCCTCCATCCTGAAAATGAGAGATACAAATTACAATCCGAATGATAAAGAAACGCCATATTCGGTGGTTTATTTAACGACACTATCAGTAGCTCAGTGTACAGCGTCAAACCTCAAGATTATTAAAGAATGATGAAGTGAACATTAATTCTAAAGGATTCTGACGATGGTGTATAACACGTCGTGCTCTTTACAACATTAGAACATTAACGAAGTCTGAAGAGTCACTAATTTCGGAATGAGAGAAACAGTACGCAGAAAGAAGCGGTGGCGGCTTTCTGCTGCAAGGAGCCGTCGCGATATTATTATGCAGGAACCGCGAGAACCCATGAAAGCCTCAGTCAGGGCAGTCGGTGACCATGTCGAGATTCGAATAGGACACCTTGTAGCCGTACCACTAACACAACCAGCTTTATATGTAATCAAGATTTCATTTTATAGTAATTAAGCACAGGATGTAGTAAGGAACATTCAAGGGTGATTTAGCCCGATTCTTGGTTTCAAGAATAGGGCCTGCTTCACTGCTACAAAGACCAGGCAGGAAGCACCCCGCAGTTTTCCAAGAAATTCAGTTCGAAAGTTGACCGGCGGGATCCTTTGGTAAAGTTACACTTGACAGGTTTTGAACCCCGTAAGTCAAAAGTGGGAAGGCCAGCAACCCACGCTACTGGTATAATTTTTCAAGCAACTGTCAAAAACGACGTTAGGACTTTAAAGTCCAAAGTCCCAAACTAAAGCTAGGTGATATTAGCAGTGAGAAATTGCGGTTAACTCCCTAAATTCGAATTGTTCCAATCAGCCGAAATTAGGGTAGTAACTTGGAGGCGGAGCTGAAGCTGTGAAGATTTCTTGCTTCAAAGCAGAGTGAGTCTGCTAAGGGAGTCTGTGAACAACTCTCCAAGTGTACAGCCGAAAAACTAGCGTCACTGGCAGTTGGGTTTAAAAGTCAAAGTTAAAAAAGAATCATGTTTAAGTGTGTTATGGAAACGATCTCTGAATAACTCTGCAAAATTAAGTAGACACCAAAAATGAGTGTGACTCTTAATTTGGCTTAAAAGTTTAAGTGAAAGTGTAATCACTTCTAAGTGTTGTGCTAAAAAAAAAGCAGTCGCTAAATAACTAGCCAGGGATCCGGGCGAAAAAATTTGAGTGATTCCAAGTTCGTTTAAGGGATTAAGGACAAGTGCTGTTACATGTATATCAAGATCTGCTCATTAAACAGTGCGTGGTAGTGCCTAGCTATAAACACTCTTATCTTTCCCGCTGACGCGAGGCCCGTATTCACCCTGAGACAGAATCTCATCGCTCTAGTGAGAATGCGGTACCTATCACCTGTAGTTTCCGGTTCATCCCCCTTTTTCCCCGAAATGTAAGCCTTTACAGTAAGCTTACTGGCGCCCAGCATTCATGTAACCCATATCCCGCAAACAGTTATCCACAACCACAACAAAAAGGGAAACAGAACTGGAGAAGGATGCAGCAGCAACCTGCAAACTCGGAGTAACAACAGGTGAGAGGGAACGACTAGAGGAGCAGCTGCAACCAGCAACCAAGGGGCCAAAAGAACCGTAAGAGAGGAGATGGCACCAAAATAAGGGCTGGACGGTTACAGAGAGAAGGTGGAGCCCAACGCGTAAGCAAACGGTTATAACCTCAGAATATAATTCAGAAATGTTATAACCCAAGATGGCTCGACGTTTAGCTTCTTCCGTTGTATGAACGAAATATCTCGATTATAAACATGAAATTATTCACAACAAAACGTCTGAGCACGTCAACGAGAAATACCTCCTGTCACCATTTGACACATGGGATTTTTCATCCTTCCTACGACGGATTCTTGCGTGCGCAGAACACTTGCGCTCTGCACATGACGACTCAGCGCCCACACAGTCACACAAACCGAGCACTACAAACACGCCAACAGTTACGAAAGGGATATCTTGATCACAAGCATTGCTATTTATTCCATCTCCGAACATCTAACATATTTATTTTTAAATCAATATAGGAATGTTGCTTATGAAGTAACAGACGCCTTGCACAAATATATTTTCCTCTAGCCTTAAGAGCTCTGTAGCTAACTTTGGGTATGTCCATCAGTGTTGCCCGTTTGTCCTAGTACAGTTTACAGTCCCAGAAGATTTGTTCCTCCGTTTGCAGCCCATCACCACATTCGCATTCGGCCGTGGTCACAACGTTAATCTGTTTAGGCTTGCTTCAAGACTGAGTGACCTGCTCTCGTACGGTTTATTGACACGAAGGCACGACGGTTCATTTTTATTTCGCGGAACCCCGGAGACGAGCCGTTCCTGCAGCGCCTTTCAAAGTAGCTTTCTCCTCTGTCCCGTTTGGTGTTTTGACAAAAACTGTGAAGTTCTTCTTTGCCTTTCATTTTCCACTCAGTTTTAAGAGCTGCCACTGCTAACGGTAGTTGACTATTTCTGCCTTCTTTGACTGACTGCTCTGCCTCCGAGTCGGTCCTCTCCTTAACATCAGCTCCGCAGTGCCCCGGGAGCCAGTAAAATTGGATTTCTTTCCTTCGCGATTTCAGTCTATTTTATCTTTAAGCATTTGTGTAAGGTGTGATGTGTTGCTTATTGTAGAGAAGTTACTAATGCCTCTTAACACGCTTGCCGAGTCGGTGAAAATCGTGAAATTTTACTCCGAGTCTATTTTTTCAACGATTCCTAGTGTTTCGGCAATTGCTAGTGCTTCCGCCGTGAATGTGGGCGTTATCTTAGATATCCTGAATTTTCTATTACGACCATCTTTTATATCTATGCGAACCCTACGAATGGTTTGTCCTCCATTTTCGAGCCGTCCGTGACGAAACATTTGCTGGTTCTCATTCTTTCTTCGAAAATCTTTTTGAGTTCCTCGCTATCATCCTCTGCTTCCTTTGTATTCCCTTATCGAAAGGTACCCTGGCCTCGTAGAAGAGGCTTTCGCACTTGTAGTCGAAGGCCGGGGGACAGTTCCCTGCTTGGATTAACTGACCGAGGCACGTTTCTTTTCGAGCTTCTTCGGCTTTCGCCTGCTACTGCTCCATATTCATGTACCACCGGTCCCTGACTTACAGGATAGCCCGGACCAAGGAGGACATTACCACATCCTTGGTCCTCAAGCCGGAAGCATATCAGTGGCCTGCCACTTGTCTCATTACACAGCAAGAAGTTACGAGCTGTTCTCCCAATTAATTTCATTTCTCATGACATTATTCTGCTTGAGCAACCAGCACAACCTTACTTCAGGTTAAAGACAACATGAGTGACAAGTAATGAAGTTGACAGATTTGGAGAAAAGATGACGCGCTGGAAGATCCTGCTGTCTGCTCGTTAACTTGCTGGTTATGTATTTCCGCCGGCAACAATGAGATGATCTACTAACACAAGGAGCTTCTAGTTGTACAAAGTTTCAAAAGTTTTAATGGGCCTTGTAACGGGTCGGGCCCTGAGCAACCCACTTCTCGTGTAACGAAGATCGGGTCTGACAGTTCCCACTCAGAATATCCAGGCTATATAGCGTCGAATGGTGGGAAGACGATGATGAATTGGAGTTAGAAGTAGCGGTCGTGATTTAATTGAAGTACTGTCCCGAAACCTGCGTGGTGGGACTGAGGAAAACCATGAAAAACCTCGGTCAGGATAACTATATTGCGGTCGAGATTCGAACCGAAACCTCGCTAATAATTTCCAAGAAATTAAGCCGCTCCTAAGTCCTAAATTAATTTTCGGGGTTTAGGAATAGAAGTTCCCATGGTCATGAAGTTCTTTTGGTTTGGAGGTGGGGGGGGGTCCATGTACTCAAATAATTTAACCCATGTCTTAATCGATTTCCAGGGCGTCGCATCAGGCAACAGTTCGTCACAACGGCTGAAATAAGCAGATGTACAATATGGAACACACTGTAACGTCTTGCTGTCGATCATTTATCACTCAACATATGTCAGTGACTCACCGCCTTACGTGAAACGCGTCCTTCTGGAACTTATTTAAAAGCTTCTGTACAATGCTATATGTTTAGACCGACACAGTCATCATCAGGTGTTCAGAAATTGTTGGTTGAAACTGTTGTGTTTGTTTTGTGATTCTGATATTCGATCCGTAGTCTCATTTACGCGGCCGTGTATCTGTACCCTATATTAATATACGTCTATTACGTTAATAATTTTTGAATATAACGTTTGTTAAGATTCCGAATATCACAGTGGCCGCACGGTTTAAAGCATGAACCGTCTTCGCCGGTTAGAACATTGGAATCGTGGGTTCAAATCCCACTCCAGGCATGGATGTCTGTCCGCGGTTGTTCTGTGTTTAGGTAGCGGCCCTGAAACTGACTGATCCCCCTTCCAATGATTCCTACCGACTGTGTACGGCTAAGAAACTGAAAAAAAAAACGGCCAAGGCCCATAAGGGCTGTAGAGCCATAGCTAGATAATGTTGTGGATGATTACTTGTTTATGTATGTACTTACTCCATGGTGTGGGGGTGTCTTCCTGCTCTGTTGTGTGTCTAAACTACGAGTTTTTGCTGACTTGGATTGAGTCTCTTATACTGTGTGTGAGTCGCTATCTGGTGTTTAATTCTTGCAACGTAATATTAAGTTATAGATATGAATATCAATCTATATCTACTAACCTTTATATATACATACACACCTTCTACCGGGTAAAGGATTCAAAGACATTAATACCGAGGTCTATAAAGATGAGAGTATGAAAATCAGGCCATCACATGCTAATCATATACAGATCGGTTCTAAATTATCGTCGGGGTTTCGGTTAGAGGCCACAGAAACCCCGACAATAATTTAGAATCATTCTGTGTAATACTTTCTAACCTTGGTTGTGGGTCTGAAAGCTCACCCTGACAAGCGAAATACGGAAGAAATTTTATCTTCTATCTATACCTGACGTAACATAGATTATGCTGTGGCGTCCTTCGATGTATAACCAGTTCTGGAACACTGAATCTCCAAACTGACATGGATGAGAATTTTGGCTCATCT